TGCCACTATTGCAATAATCATAAATAGAAAACAATATACTTGTGGCTGAGTGATGCGGTGATGAGCGAATATTGTGTATTGTGGTACAATGACGTTTTTTTTTATTTCGCATATATATATGCTAATTCCCCGATGGAAGATGAGGTGGATGCCTTAATAAAGTCAGTAAATATGTAGGTATAATTTCTCTCTGGAAACATGTATTTGATTCGTATATTCTTTCGAATGTGCAGCGGTAGCCCAAGTTACTCCTTAAAATTTCTTAACATGGGATTCCTCAAGATATTCTTATCGTCGAACACAAGGCGTAATCACGTAATTTTTCTCAGAGCTATCATTAGACATGTGTGGATAAAGGTATGAACATGTATGAAAAATGATGAATTATAACTATTATTCTTTTCTTTCATAATGTAAGAGAATTAATTCATGAAAAGTCAATTTTGCATGAACTATCCTGTCTTCTAGTTTTTTTTTCTGGAATACATCCAACATTATCCGATAAAGGCTTCAACCTCCTGTAAATATTCAATGGTTTTGGTAGAGAAAACTAATAAGATAACTTCCTATTTCATAATACAAAACTAACAAATAACTTGTTTTTTAAATTTTTGTACATTTAACCTTTGTTATATTGTGCTTACAATTTAGTGAATAATTTGTTATCGTTCATAAAATTACTAATATTGAAAAAACTTAATGCTTATGAATTTCGATGCATCTTCTAACTTACTTTAGATTTTACGCCTATGGGCTATCCCATTCCTCCTTTAGACTATAATTTTCACTGTTCACCATTTTCATGTTGACTATAAATCCTCTATTACTTCTTGTAGTACTTAGGTTAATGATTTGGTTTAAATCGCCTAAATCATTTGGTCATGTGCATATTATACTGAAAAATTTTTTAATCGGTTAACCGAACCGAATTATTTTATTCAACCGATTGTCAACCGGTTAAGGTTACTCATTATCCTCAGAAATTCTCAGAGCTTGCTCAAATTTTTGCCTCATATTTTAAGTTCTTTTCGGAACCTTTCGGAACCTTTACTCTCTCCTTATATCTACCAATTTTCAACCGGATGTACTGGGTCAACCGATTAAGAATTTCCTCAACTGGTTAACCGAAATTTATTCAGTTCGGGTCGATTAACCGATTATAAGCCAACCGATTCAAATCACTAACTGAGAGTAACACCCCTAGCTGTCCCACAAAAAATTGTTCACCCCCTGTAATATTGGCCAATCGAATTTCAGGATCAGGTGTAACGTAAAAATCGAGGCGAAGCCATTTTATTTCCAAAAAAAAAGAGAATAGCTCTAAATTGTAATTAGGAAACCACCTTCTGCGACCTAATTAAAAACGTTCCTCGTGAAATTTTACCAATAGTCTCAATCCTAACCCTATGTTGTTCTCATCCTAATCCTAACTAACTATAACGCGGGTTAGTTTTACACGCAGCTTTTTACTTAGAAAACAAAACACGTTTGTTTTGACTATCTCGTTTCACCTGATCTTAAATTTTTGTGGGAACGCTATCTAAATTACAGAGAGTATCGATATAACGGCTTGACGTCAAGTTACCCTATCCTTCTAAAGCGTACCCCAGCTCACGCTACACTTTAACTCAACTCATTACATGATTAGTATGTTATTAAATTTAATTGTTCATACGTACGTCGTCCAAGGTGGATATTCCATAACATGGCCCATATTTCATCCGATCTATTCATATAACTGATGTTTAGCAACATATTATGTGTAGTCTTTTGAGAGGTCAAAATTAAAAATTTTTTGTCAAGCATAAACGACTTATTTTTAACATTCAATCTATGAAATCTGTCTGAACTAAACCGTGTATGTATGAGAATAAAAATCTTAGGAGTATTGAAAAACATAAACACATATAGTCATGCGATTGGAAGAATGCCGCATAGCCAAAGGTACAGAAATAAATTTAATTAAGTCCACAGGATATATGCGAGCATATCGGCGGATTTGTGAAATTGCGTTAGGGTTATTTTTTTTAAAACTTTAATATCAAAGTTTTAAAAAAACATAACCCTAACGCAATTTCACAAATCCGCCGATATGGTAATTATAACATAAGCTTTAGCTAATTAATTTGAACTGAAATGATATATTTCTAAAAAAAATTAGCAAATATATTACGCCTAGTATGATAGCATTAGAGCGAGCGAGAAGCAGTATCGGCCTACGGTTCCCTTGCTCGAAGCAAACTACATATTACACTGGTAAAAAAATCAATTATTAACTAAATAATAACTAGTAATTTCTGGTACAAATTATAACTTATTTACTATATATTTACTAGATAATTTGTGTCATTTGTATATTTTTAGTTAATATGTTTAAATGCATATATTACCCAGTAAATATATAGTAAATAAGAGTAAATAAGTTATAATTTGTACCAGAAATTACTGGTTATTATTTAGTTAATAATTGACTTTTTTACCAGTGCTAATTATCATGTATTTTATGTCAAAAAGTCTAAAATTAAAATTCTAACCCTTTCAGTATAGTAAAGAGTTTCGGAAAAGGTTTCGGGATTTTATATATAGTCGCGTTTCGTCACCCAACTCTAGTTTTAGGTACGGCACATAATACACCAAGACGCAAACTTGCCTAATGGAATTTATCGTTCTCAATACAGTCTATTTACATATTCGAATAGCTATTAAGTACGTACGTACGTACGTCGATGATATTAGTTTATCACAGTGTGATACGTTTAATATTCTTCTTTACCAGTCGCACAGTGACTGATCATCAATTACAAAGTTGGCCTAGTGTAGATTGTCAATCTCAATGTTGTGCTTGTTGTTGTCTTATTTATAATGTCACGTAATAGATAAGACAATAAAGGGATACGACAATTACCAATGAACAAACCGTTGCACAACACTGGATCATCTGGTTAAAAGTTTCCCCATGAGAGTTAAAAAGCGTTTTGGTATTTCAGTAATACAATTATTGTACAGTATACGTATTACTGAAATTATCATAATTTTTTAAGTCCAAAATTTTTACTTCCGGATTTTTACTCACACACTCAAATAAAAAATTAGTGTGGGCAGGACTGAACTTACCTATTCATTTTCTCGGCCATTCAAAATGTCATTCTTGATTCTATTTTTTAATATATCAAAGACACTTGAAACAATGGAGGTAATTATACTACGTAGTAATACATTACTAATACATCATACGGAAGAATGAGGGGATGATACTAATAAAAAAAATGAATATGAAGAATATGATAATCATAAGGAAATTAAAAATAAGGAAATGCTAGGACGCAGAAAGGTTATGAAGATAGCAACAAAGGTGAGAGCCATGGAACAAAATTATCAGTTACACCGCAAATACTTTTAAATATCTTGTAACCGCCAAGTGATACGTACAAAGGTTACCACCGTTCATCTAAATTATTAATATTAAATTGTATGCTTGTAACAATTTAGGTTATCTGAATTATATAGAAATTTAGATGTATGGGACAATTCATAGGCCGACATTCGTATGATTGGTTGAGTTTTGTAGATCTACCCGTGATTTTCCGTGATAATTAACCAATAAAATAACGTAATTTTAAATTTATCGTTTACTACTAATAGAAAATAAAAAAACTTCGTATAAAGAAGCTTATAAAACTTACAAACCATAAATACATGTAAACGAAATTATCACATATGTCTTAGAGAATATATAGGTACGCGTAAAGTTGGGTAAAATGTAATATTTTATTATTATTAATAAACCTAAACCCATTAAAAATCTACGATACAGTATATAAACCAAAACTTAACTTATGGTTGACAACCCCAACCAAACGACTAAATTTAAAACTTGAACCTGAATCTTCTATTGCTAAAGAGCTTGTACCTTTCAAATTGAATAGTTAGCAATAAAAATTTATTTAAATCTTACAATACAAAGTAGTTTTAGACGAAAATGTTTCCAGTTACCTCATTGTACAGTACAATTTCGTATAGTCCAATAAACGGCAATATAGTTTGTCTTATAAGCAAAGTCCACGAGGAGGAAGATCCCTTTGAGATTCTTTTGTATAGTGAATATTAGCGTTCGTTCAAAGCTGAAAATGGCTTTTGTGGTGATTTTTCATTAGTGAAACGTTCAGTTCTAAAAAAGTACTTTAAACCATATAAATAAGTTACCCGGGTAATTGATTTACATCAGCCAATCAAACGAATGTCTGACCATGATGGAACAATGGGTTAGAAGAATGTTTATTATAGGCCGGAAGGCTAACTTTTTTCTGAGGCTTAATCTTAGACAATCTAAAATAAATTTGGTCCTCAAAACTTAAATTTAGAGACAAACCACTGTAATGTCTTACTACGTATACATATTATCATGTACGTACGCAGTAGTTATTGAAGTAAATCTGGAATAAGTTCGAGAACAAATCGGGTTGTTTATGTGCGTGGGAGCCATTTCTAAACTATGCATACTATTTCAATGGTTATGTCTCATTCCCCGACGGCTATTTCCATTTACCCGACCTCACACGTGACAATTTACTAACCACACATACCAGCAACTAATCAAATGTTAACCTTAACCTTATGTAAATGGCTGTAGGGGAAATGATTGCCGAGAAAATGAATGGCAGTCATTTTTATTTTCGGGTAGTACAAGGACGGGTACGTACTGTACCTGTACATAAACAAAAAAATCAAATATTTCCTAAATTATTAGCATCAATAAGAAAGTGAGTACATAATATTTTATTAAAATTATTAATATTTACGTTACCTAAACTCTATAGAGATTATGGTTTTTAAATTTCATGCCCGGTGCAGGGCCACAAATCTCTATAGAGTTAATTCAACAGACAGTCAAGTAGCACATTGAAACAAACTATTTCTTAAATTATCGATTTTAATAAATATTTATACAAACACTTTATTGATGTTAACAGTTTAGGAAACTGGTTACATATTTGTTTATTATGAATTCGTGTAAATTTTTTCCGGGAATAAAATTATCCAATCAAGAAACCTTTGAAAAAAAATTTATAATGGACAAGAAACATCTTCAGAAAAATTCGAAAGTTCATTGAGCAATATGGCTGAAATCACCAATAACCCAAATCAATTGTATTCAAATGAAGACGATATATCACAAGATTACCATGAAGATATTAAAGTATTATATGACCTATGTATAGAAGAAAGTAATAAAGATAATAATATTGAGTCAGTTATGGATGCATTTTTAAATGATAAAACAGAACCTAATGACATAATTAAGTTTTGTTCGAAACATCATACCAATCCTATAATTCAATTAATCCTGGCACACTGTTACCGCTTTGGTAAAAGGATGAGCAGAAGGCATTCGAATATTATCAAAAATCTGCCGAAGCAAAGGATGCTAGTGGAATGTACAGTCTTGGATAGTGTTATCACAAAGGAATCGGAGTTGAAGTTGATGTATATACGGCATTCGAATATTTTCAAAAATCCGATGAATTAAAAGTTGCTCTAGGGACAAATATGGTTGGACTTTATTATGAACGTGGAATTGGAGTTGTAAAAGATGAACAGAAGGCATTCGAATATTATGAAAAATCTGCTAATATGGGGAATGCTAGTGGAGCCTACAGTATTGGTTATTGTTATGAAGAAGGAATTGGAGTTGAAAAGGATGAGCAAAAAGCATTCGAATATTATAAAAAATCTGCAGATATAGGAAATTCTTTAGGAGCAAACAGAGTTGGTTATTGTTATAATGAAGGAATTGGGGTTGAAAAGGATGAACATGAGGCATTTATTTATTATCAAAAATCAGCAGAGATGGGGAACGCTCTTGGAACAAATAATGTTGGATATTGTTATCTTAATGGAATTGGAGTTGAAAAGAACGAACAAGAAGCATTCAAATGTTATGAAACGTCTGCAAATATGGAGGATCCTATCGGAATATTTAATGTTGGATATTGTTATCAAAATGGAATTGGAATTAAAAAGGATGAACATAAAGCATTCGATTATAAAAAATCTGCAGATATGGGGATTCTAATGGTGCATATAATGTCGGATATTGTTATCTTAATAGAATTGGAGGTGTCAGGGATAAAAGAAATGCATTCAATTATTTTCAAAAATCTGCAGAAATGGGGAATGCTTTAGGAACAAATAGTGTTGGTTATTGTTATGACGAAGGAATTGGAGTTGAAAGGGATGAACGTAAGGCATTTATTTATTATAAAAAATCAGCAGATATGGGGAACACTCTTGGAACAAATAATGTTGGATATTGTTATCTTAATGGAATTGGAGTCGGAAAGGGTGAACACGAAGCATTCGTTTATTATAAAAAATCTGCTGATATGGAGGATCCTATCGGAACATTTAATGTTGGATATTGTTATCAAAATGGAATTGGGGTTGAAAAGGATGAACATAATGAACATAATGCATTCAGTTATTATCAAAAATCAGCAGAGATGGGGAACGCTCTTGGATCAAATAATGTTGGATATCGTTACCTTAATGGAATTGGGGTTAAAAAGGATGAATATGAAGCATTCATTTATTATAAAAAATCTGCCGATATGGAGGATCCTATAGGAACATTTAATGTTGGATATTGTTATCATCATGGAATTGGAGTTGAAAAGGATGAACATAAAGCATTCAAATATTATCAAAAATCTGTAGGGATGGGGAACGCTCATGGAGTATATAAAGTTGGATATTGTTATCAGAATGGAATTGGAGTTGAAAAGAGCGAAAAAGAAGCATTCAAAAATTTTCGAAAATCCGCAAAAATGGGGAATGCTTTAGGAGCAAATAGGGTTGGTTATTACTATGATGAAGGAATTGGAATTAAAAAGAATGAATATGAGGCATTAATTCATTATCAAAAATCTGCCGAGTTATTGAATACTAATGAGACAAATAATGTTGGACATTGTTATCTTAATGACATTGGAATCGAAAAGGATGAACATGAAGCATTCATTTATTATAAAAAATCAGCTGATATGGGGTGTGCTAGCGGGATGCTTAATATTGGATATTGTTATCATCATGGAATTGGAGTTAAAAAAGGACGAACATGAGGCATTCATTAATTATCAAAAATCTGCAGAGATGGAACACGCTATTGGAACATTTGAACTTGGCAACTGTTATAAAGACGGAATTGGAGTCGAAAAGGATGAACGTAAGGCATTCGAATATTATAAAAAATCTGCAGAGATGAGGAATGTTAGTGGAATATATAATGTCGGATATTGTTATCAAAATGAAATTGGTGTTGAAAAGGATGAAATCAAGGCATTAGAATATTATAAATTATCTGCCTATAATGGAGATGCTAGTGGAACATATAACGTTGGATATTATTATCAAAATGGAATTGGTGTTGAAAAGGATGTAGATAAAGCATCCATTCATTATCTACAATCTGCTGAGATGGGGAATGCTAAGGGAGCGTTTAATGTTGGAGATTGTTATCGTCATGGAATTGGGGTTGAAAAGGATGAACATAAAGCATTCGAATATCATCAAAAATCTGCAGATATGGGAAATGCAGACGGAACATATAATGTTGGAGATTGTTATCATTATGGAATTGGAGTTGAAAAGAACGAAAATGAAGCATATGTTTATTATCAAAAATCTGCAAAGATGAGGAATGCTCTTGAAACATATAATGTTAGATATTGTCACCTTAATAAAATTAGTATTGAAAGAGACGGATATAAGACACGCCCTTATAAACAAAAATCTGACTATGTGGATAAGAATAATCGATATACATTAATATATGCCGCAAAGAATGGCCATATAGAGATTGTTGAAACTTTGTTAAAAAGTGGTGCTAATGTTAATATTATCGATAATGATAAACATACAGCATTAAACTGGGCTGCAGAGAATGGCTACACGGATATTGTTAAGATTTTGATAAGGCATGGAGTTAATGTAAATGCTACCGATAAAGATAAACATACAGCATTAAACCGAGCTGCAGAGAAGGGTCACATAGAGATTATTAAGGCATTGATAGAACGTAATGCTATTGTAAGTCATATTGCATTATACTTAGCTGCCATAGAAGGTCACACAGAGGCTGTTAAGATTCTGATTAAACATGAAGCTGATGTTAACTCGATTATTAAGAAGCGTACTATATTACATCATGCTGCAAAAAACAATCATATAGAAGTCGTTAAGACTTTGTTAGTACATGGTGCTGAAATCAGAGCCGTTGATGAACATGGTTTTACAATATTTGATAAAAATAAAAATTTGATAAATTACGGATTGCATCTTGCTGCACAAAAGGGGTACACAGACGTCATTGAAACTTTTTTTAAAAAATATCGAATTAACAATATTAATGCTGTCGATGCAAATGGCAAAACAGCATTACATTTAGCTGCGAAAAATGGTCACACAGATATTGTCAAGAAATTAATAAATAAGAAAGCGGAAGTTGATATTATTGATAAGGATAATCATACACCATTGTTTTATGCAGCTGAAAATGGCAATGAAAAGATAATTGATATTTTAATAACGAACAATGCAAAAGTTAACCATACTGATGATGATGGTATCTCCGTATTGCACAAGGCTGCTGAGAATGGTAAACTGGCAGCTGTTGAGGCTTTATTAAGACATAATGCAAATATTAAAATCGGTGATAAGAATGGTGAAACAGCTCTACACAAGGCTGCATTTAATGGTCATCGTGATGTTGTTAAAATTTTAATCAAATATAAAGCTGATGATAAAGCTGATGATAAAAAAAATTGGACATTATTACACTTTGCTGCTGCTGCAGGAGAGATCTTATATTAATGTTGTTAAATTACTATCGAAAGATAAAAAGACTATGTTACATTTTGTTGCAGAAATAGGAGAAATTAGAACTCTTAAACTTTTGTTAAAAGGCGGAGAAATATCTGATAGCGTTGATGAAAATAATAAAACACCATTACACTGGGCTGTATTTGGAGGGCACGAAGATTCTGTAAGTTATTTAATAAACTACAATTCCAAGTTAATAGGTGCTATTGATAAAGATAAAGAAACACCATTATTTGAAGCTATGTGGAAGGGTCATACAGGAATTGTTAGACTTTTACAAAAAAAGGGGGCAAACTTTTATGCTAAGAACAAATATGGCTGGATGCCATTACATATAGCTGCAATCTACTGTCAAGTTAAAATTTTTGAATCTCTAAATTTAAGTAATGGCGAATATAATAAATTGAAGGAGTTAGATACTATCAAATGGGATGATTATTTTGAATCTAAAGAACCTTGTGACCTAACAAAAGAGCTAGTTAAAAGGCTAGTTCATCTAGAAAGTGAATTCAAAAACAACAATGATTTTGATTTCTTTTTATCAATTTTTATTAATATATATAGAAAATTTTACAAAATATCTTGATAAGAAAAAAGATTTTCCACAATGTAGAAAAGTACTTACCGTATTACCGCAAAATAGCACAGTATTTCAATCACCTGCGCGGTATTTCGAGTACGCGCATGTGCGCTATTTCGAAATCAACCTAGTTTTTATGAAATTCGGTGCTTTGACTAACTATGTAGTGCGTCATTTACTATTTGTTTTTTGACATTTCTTATTGTAAAATCATATAGATGACGTCTAACCATCTTTTTATGGGAAGATGGGTTAGACATTAGCTATATGATTTTACAATAAGAAATGTCAAAAAACAAGTAGTAAATGACGCACTTCATAGTTAGTCAAAGTACACTGATTTCATAAATTCGCTGTGATGAAGAGTTTTGATTCATATTATCCAGCTTATCTGCTATAAAAATTGATGACAAACAGTCAACATTGTAACAAAAGGAGAGATGAGATAGCGCTAAGAATTTTCTCCGTGGTTCAGTACACTTAAAGCTATAGAAATACGTACATTTATTTATACAGTATACTATATAAGGTGCATGCTATTTCGGGACACGCATGGACGTTATTTTGAAGCCAAGTATACTATTTTAAGGGAATTCGATTTTCGAAATAACGCCCATGTGCGCTATTCCGCGGTAATACGGTAGCTATTTATACATATGTACTTTTACTAAGATTTGTAATTTCAAATCTGCGTTAGAATCTAATTTGATAATTGACATAGATGAATATTTTGATGTGATAGAAAATAATATAAAATTACTGCAAAAGTCAAGCAAACAAGATGCAACTCATATTAATATTATATATAATTATATACAGGATCATAATCAATCAAAACTTGTAGACTATATCTCGCATATTAATTTGTCAAAAGGTACTGAAACAATGGACAAAGAACTAAAAGATGCTATTGAAATACTAGAATTAAAAATAAGAACCAACATTATACTTTGGCATTTTAAAAAGGCTATTGATGCACTCAAGTAATGGATATTTCCACATGCATGTATGCATTCAGAGGTATTAAGTCCACTGTTAGATTATACTAGTAATGGTGTTAACAATGTTATAGAGAAAATGAAAACTTTGAGATCAAAAGTTCAAGAACACAATATGTTTATTAACAACAAAAGGACAAATATTTAATAGATGAAGAATCTGATAGTGAATACGAATATTCAGAACCATTTTTTGTATGAGAAAACAAAAAATATGATAAAGAAATATCAAAATTATTAAATGGAGAAGGAGTAACTATAAATGCAAATATAAGAGAAAGCAACTCTGAAAAAAGTGCAATCAAGTTTAATGAGATAGGTATCAGACTTAAATCAATAAATAAAACATTGCAAAATAAAATTAATAATGAGCTTAAATGTTTCAATATTATTATGGTTTATTTAGGCAAATCGTATTATAGATATAAGGATAGGTTTTATGTAATAAAAAATGATGAACAAAGTATTAAAAAAACAAAAAGTGGAGAACCAGTTAGAAAAAATACCGTGTATGAAAAACTCAAAAACGGAGAATTAATGTTTAGTTCTTATACTGCGTGGACAGTAAAAATTGAATCTATTAAGGTTAATGATTTTAGTAAATTAAAGACATTTGAGAAGGAACTGAACCTAGAACTGGTAGGACATGGAAAGTATATAAAAACAAAAGGTAACAATGGTCTGACTCTTGAGGTAGAAAAATACTATCAGAGAACAAAGTTTCCAATAAAGATTGAATAAGATTATTATTTAAAGATTTTAAAGCCTTGATAATTTTTGCAAAGTAATTATGTTTTTACGCAAAATATTTTTATATCAAGATTTAAATTTAAAATTATTTTTATGTAAACCAATTAAATTTTATAATAAAATATTAGCAACGTAGCATTATTAAAATCTATCTCTAAATGTAATATTGATTAAACTTTTCATTTTTATATAATCTACAGTACCAGCATTTCTACACTTTCTACAGTACTGATTGGAATTTTTTATAATAATTTACATGTTTCTATCCTTTTTAAAATATGATATCTTGGTTAGGGTTTGTGTTAAAAGTTTAACATCACAATGTCATTTTTATAAAATCTACATAGCTCTATCAAGTTATATAAATATTATATAAAATTTTTATTTAGATTTATAAACCCAATGTAGAATTACATAGTTGGAATTTTTATATATGACTTAATATAATATTTATATAAATTTTATATAAATATAAAAATTATATAAATTCTATTTATATCTATATAAAAATAAATTAATTTACTTTGGCTATTTCTCAAAAATGACTAAGGTAATCAGTGTTCGATGTGCTAAGTAAAAATGTTCAGCAGGCCAGAAAACACTCCACAAACCTCTAGCTTAAGCTTTAAAATCTATTTCTAGCTTTAATATTTAAGTTGAAAATTTTTTTGAAATTTTACATAATTCTACATATATATATAGATATATATAAATAACTATGTAAAATCTACATTGGGTTTATAAGGCTACATAAAAATTTTACATAACTCTATATAAAAATTCTACGTAACTCTATATAAAAACAACTTTGTGATGAATGAGCGAATTTTGCAAGAATTTTTTTGTTAGTACGCGAATGATTTAAGTAAAATTTCGAGATTATGTGATTTTTGTTGTTAATTTTCATGTTAATGATTCTTTGTTGAACAGGACTAGAAAGTATTCATGCATTTTGTGCCTACGAGTAAGAAAAAATGGATAATAAAATAATTCTAAATGCAAAATGCATATGCATAAGCAAGGATGTTCATGGTTAGGTCAAGGTGGATCTATTTGGTCTAGTCCAGTCTGATCTACTATAATATAATCTTAAGGCCCAGTTCTAGCAATGGGATAAAATGCTCATGTTTGGAATTATACACATTTATCGATTCATACGCACGCATTAAACCCAACTTTACTTAGTTCAAATTGACCTGGATTGCCTAGACTGCATGATCCTAATTCTGAGAGCAGATGAATTTTTTTTTTTTTTTAGTTTTAGATTGGTCATAAGAATACCTGTAGTCTATTTGTCCGATCCAGACCAGACCACATAATATCCTATACATAAGAACCTTGATGATATAAGTTAATCTTGTATGCAAACATAGGGGGCCTCAAACTCAAACAACTGACAACACAAGTAAATATTTTGTATACATTAACAATATATTTAGGATTCTATAAATGATTACCATATACTTCTTTGTGGTTCCAGATTATTTCATATGTCCGTATGCTTTAAGCAAATAAAGAAACCAAATTATATAAAACAAGCCTTAATAATAATGTCAAAAATTTGATTTTTGTAAGATATGCTGAGTTTTAATATCGAGCATAACTTCTGGTTTGCTTATTATTTCTTAAATTAATAAGCCTTAGGTCCTAACTAACAAAATGTTTAAGTCGGCTATGCTATAATGGCCATTAATAGCAATTTAACTAAGCCAATGTAAATACTATATGCCAAATAACATTCTAAGCCATTTTTAGAGGTTTAAATCACATGCAAAGTAAGAATCTTTTTTCAAAAATAAATGACAAAGATGAATTTTTGCAAGCATCAATGTCCAAAGATGAAGAAACCATTGACATCAAACCTGAACCAAGTATACCACATAATGGCAAGAAAATAGCCAAGCTTATGCTATCACCAGATAGCAAATACGTAGCGACATGGAGTAGAGAAGATAGATCAATTTGCGGATACAAACTCGATGACAATCAACCTGCAAAGCAATACATGGAGCAATCATTAGAAAAATCAGAAACCAAATCAAAACAATTCAAACATTTTGATTCAATAAATGTTGAAGAATTTTGCAAGAAATTTTGCAAAGATTTAAGTGCAGTTTTGAAGTTGTATGCAGTTTCAAATAATAAAGTTTTTGCAATATCAGATACAATTGTTACTACAATAAAATTGAAATACGTACAGTGCAAAAGAATTGGTTAGTAGCAAATAAAATAGTCGATAATATTTGTAATACTTAAAAGTGATTTCTAAATTTTTTTTTCCTTTTTAGAGGTCATTGATTTTGTAAAGAATAAGAAAATAGAATTAAAACAGATATTGGTCAATAGAAGAATGTAGATTTTACACTAGTGAAGATAATAATGAATACTTCTTAATTGTGGCGCACAATTATGAATATCAATATATTTTTAAGTTTTCATGCGATAAGTCGAAAAGCTGGAAAATAAATAAATCAATTTCTTGTGGTGCATTTAAAGACATTCAAAAATGTCATATAGATGGAGAAAAGATCATGCTTATTGATAATTGTAGGTCATTAACACAATGGAATTTAAACACATTATTATTCGAAAGACAATATCAATTAACTCACCATGTGCATGAAAGTTTTTTCATTTTTAATAAAAATTCTACATTACTTGCAATATATCAGTATTGCTATCCAAAAGGATTTGTTTATGTTTATTTAACCGAAAATTCGCTGCTTTTATCACATTGTAAGTTCTTTAATTCACGTATACATGTTGATTTCTATAATTCTATAACTTATAATTATAATTAATAGGCGAACTTAAAAAGGAGTTACAACATTTAGAATTTATTTCATCAGATAAAGAAGAAAGATTGCTTTTATTTTTTGATAATGATAATTTTGAAATAAGAGATCCTTATGAACTTGATCTTGTTACTCTTGATAAGTCTGTTTCAAAGCTGCGTGAAGAACTAGAAAATTTGAAGGAAGAAGAAACTTTGAAAAAAGAAGAAACTTTGAAAAAGGAACTTTGAAGAAAGAAGAAGAATATAATACAATGATAGATAATAAAATATATTATATAGCAGACAGATATTTACGAGTTCAAGAGGTTTCTAGAAAACAATGGATCAAATATCTGCAAGAAATATTGAAAGATTATAATAAAACAAGAGTTCTACCTAGCAAACCTCAAATAAAAAAATCTCTGGAAAGATTTATAAAAGGTAATATAGCTGATTTACCTTTATATGATGGATCTTTAGTAAAGTGGGAGGTAAATAGTGCTAAAAAATTAATAAAAGTATTTTTGAAGTCTGGTTCAGACATAGATGATTGGAAATTTGTAAATAGTGTAAAATTGAAAGATGAGCTTTATAAAAAAAGAGACGAAATATGGGGTGGTATTAAAATAGATATTTATAGCTGTTATTTATTGTATAATGAAGACTTGGCGATAGCAACATCTGCAGGCTTATTTATATGGTCAATTTGGCCGAAACAAAAAAATGAAAAAAAAGAAGAAATTAGATTACAATACCTCATAAGCATAAGTCATGAGTATGAATATATGGAGAAATCAGACTTTAAAATTTTATTAGATAAGATACAAAAGGATAAAAAAACTTTATTGTCAGCACCAGATTTTGAATTCTTTATTGATTATAGCAAAGAGCAACACACAGAAGATGAGAGATGCCTTTTTTAAGAATTATTAAAAGATTATATTGAAGATAAAATATTAATTAAATTGTATGGACAAGAACTTTTAATGTGTTTCTTAAAATCTAAAGTTTACAAATTTTTAGGGAATTTATGTAGTAAAATATATAACAATAAAGAAACGGAAAATAGTGACCTATTAGTAGTAAAGATTCAGTTATTAGATATTTTTACCTCATTATTTACAGAATTAATGCAATTTCCTCAATTGTTAAGAGCATTTTTATCATATACTTTATTTATTTATTCAATTGATATTCTTGAGGAGATTAAAATTAACAAATTTATTTCAAAACCACATCTTCAAAGTCATATAAAATATTTACAACCTTACCTTACTAGCAATATTGAGGAAAATATTAAACAGTTTTTTTACTTTATTAAAAAAAAGATTGAAGAAATTCCTTTCTCTCTTTCTTATAATATAAAAAAAAAACTAGAAAAAACATTTTCTAAATATTTTGTACAATTAGAAAAAATATTTTATAAAGATTTTCAAATTATAATTTTAATTTTTCCATTACCAAATTTTAGCTCTTATGGAGGTGATGATATTTCTTGAAAAGAGTTAATTAGGGAGTTAATTTTGCCTAAACCTAGCACTTTTTCTAAGCATGAATTTTCTGAAATTTATAAATATTGGCAGGGTGAAGCACTTCTTAATTTCAAGTGAAGCACTTCTTAATTTCAAGTGAAACACTTATGGAAAATATTATTTTTTGGCTATTTTTATTTTCTATTGTATTTTTATGCTCTGCTTCTTGATAGTTGCTTCAGTGAAAGGGTTATCCAATGATACACAAAATCTCCTATATACTGCAGCTATTTTTCTTGGAATTTTGCATCTTATTTTTGAAATTCGACAATTTACTTATTCTTCTCTATTGTAGATTACTGATATTTGGAATTATTTTGGTATTTAGGTTTTTAATTATTTAAATTATAAAATTGGAAAAGTTCTTATCTAATTACTAATATTTAATATGTTCTTAAGACATAGGTACAATATTATTTCCTATAATAACCTCTTTTGATTGGTTACATTCTTCTACAACACCTATTTGGGCTATTACACTTTCTATATTATTACTTGAACTCAAATTTATAACATTTTTTCGTGCTATTGAATTTGGTGGCACTTATTGGGCGATGATTATTGGAGTTATACATAATTCTTTATTTTTTTTTGTAATAATAGGCCTTATTATATTTGCTTTTGCACATTCTTTATTTGTTTTATTAAGGCCAACAGCTGATGCTTCAAATAATTCAGAAGAA